TCAAAGGCATTGCCTACTACCCTAAATATACTGAACTATACTGAACTAATTAACATTTCAAAGTGCTGGTACAGTCACAAATCTGGTTAGGGTGGACGCCAATTGGTAGCTACAATTTGCGTCACGCCGTTGTGGACATAATTAGCCATCGCAATGGCGTAATGGCTAATTGCCTTTTAACGAGTTCAAACACGTTCCTTATATATGGAAGGATTCGCCATGTGTTTGTTTTGGGCACCTGAGTGGAACTATCTGGGTCCTTTTTGTTGGGTTGTTGTTGTCTCATGTATCGGTGTACAAAGTCTCTGGGGTAAACATTGCGGGACAGGCACTTGCGAAAGCACGAAATAAAAGTGGCGCACAAACCGAGGGCTACTTTACGCACCCAGCTAGTACACCCTAAGGGTAGGGTTGGCCACCACGATAAGAAAGCAGTCATCTACAAGATCCCATGCGAAAGTTGAGAAACTGTATATTGTGACCAAACAGGAAGATCCATCTCCACACGTACCTACGAGCACCACTTGGCAGTGAAGAGACTTTACCATTTGTCCGAAGTTGCTAAGCATTGCCTTGACACAGTGTACATCTTTGCATGGGACAAAACGCAGATTGTCGGAGCTTGCCCCTCCAAAAGGGCCGAGAGGCCATACATTCCGAGGATTCATGCATCAAACGGCGTATCATGTTGGATGGAATGTACAAACATCTCAAACAAATGTGGAAGAGACTACAGCCACTAACTATGGCCCAACATCAAGCGCAATTAGCGCTCACACCGGATGACCCGAACTGACCCCGGACCGACGCTAATATCGATCCAAGTGTGATTAAACTCACGGTGTGAAGCGCGACATTCGTAGCTCAAGTGGGTAGAGCATTAGCTTGGCTAAAAGGCCTCTCTCCTATGCGAGTTCGAATCCCGCCGAATGCCGCGAGTTTTTAACTCTTGGGTCAACCAAATTACAATTGCCAATTAGCCATTGCGACTGCTAAGTATGTCCACCACGGCGTGACGCAAATTGCAGCTACCAATTGGCGTCCACCCTAAACAGATTTATAACTGTACCAGCACTTTGAAATGTTAATTATTCTTTGCAAATCTTCTCAAGTTTGACGATGACCTGGAGATGCAGTGTCGAATATTTACTGAATAAAGTTCCCTCATTTTCCGAAACGACGCGTTTCCTTAAAATTACATTTCTTCGGATGAGTGCTTTTCAGTTTATACAATTCGTAATCTAACTCGTGTTTTAAGGTATTGGTTGACCTTGAGTGCAGTTGGTCACGGACTCCTGTCGTAACGTTGAAGTGGAATGAAGCTTGCACAGTTCATGTTCCAAAACCAGAAAAATCAAATTTTGCTTCTTGTTTTTGAATCCGAATTTGCGCCTCCAGTATCAACCATCTTAAACATTTACATACAGCATTTGCCGTAAATCGTCATTAGGAGCTGCAGGCGTATAGGGGAAGCATCAGTACCCAAACTCACTCGCCATTCTACACTTCGAATTTATCTGTTCAGATGAAGACACGGCCACCGAAACACAAAGTATCGTGGTCTGACTTTGTGGATTCTCCGTTAAATCCATCACCAGGGACACCCAAATCCTTATCTGCGACCGTCCCCGATCATGAGTTCAAGCAAGAACCCGAAACCTCTGATAAAAAAACCGCAAGTCCCACAGATAGCATATTCTTATTCTTCCGATCTACCGCCTGAGACTCACCCCTCCTTATTTGTATAGTGTCAGTTTCCAGAGGATAACTCGAAACCGGATTTAATCCGATTTTAATCCAAAGCTAGTAATAGTGTCCGTAGCGCTTCCATATTCTGATTAAACTATCGCACACCTTGCTCGTGACTAATTTTAGGTTACTCCTCCGAAGAAAACGGAAAACAGTCTGGACAGTCCACAAAATAATCTTTAAATAAAAGTACACAGACAAATTGCGTCAAGCGAATGCATAATTTACAATGTGATTTGAAGGCAAAAAGCAATAAGTAGGTTTTTATCATGATTGCGAAGATGCGCCATAGCAGGAGGATCCAGAGTGTAACCCTTTCCAGAATGTTGGTTGATGTGCTGTTATCAGGCCAGGGAAGGTTTAAGGTAGCCCCCAGCCAGCAAGCGACCCTCAGGGTTGTCGCACCCTCTCCGGCGAAAACTGACGATGACTAGCTGGAGAGTGCGAGGGCGTGAAGGTGGTGCATTGTGTCAGTTGATAGTCTCCATGCTGAGGACGCGGATAGTGTTGCTCCTGTGGCGAATGACGGTAATTGGGCTGCGGCTGCTGCAGCTGGTCCTCGTTTGGTAACGGGCCGTCAAGGTCATCGCCATGGAGTCGTTCCGTTTCCTGGTCCAGGATTGGTCCGCTTGCGTTACCCGGTTCAAGGTCCTCTTCATCCCCGTAGGACTCGTTTAGTAACTCATGTTCGTAATAACCGCTTCTGGGCCTCTTTTTCGAGCTCTAAAAGCATATCATTCGGTGAACGCATGTTAAAATTAGAGTGCCGGTAAAATGATTAATTAAATAGGGTTTGTCCCTTTGATTATTTTTGTACTACAGCTTCATTCATTTTCTTCCTCCCTCTTTCCTCGTTATCCCGGTTCTCGCAGGAAACAGACTCAGGCTGCAATACCGCCTTGCTAACATGACTCATATGACACTCCTATTCAGTACAAGCAGAAATTCGAATCCCAAGAAATAATTGTGACGAAAAAGATTCGATCACTGGGACAACACTTTTATTCGCCTGATGTTTCGACATCCGTTGCGGATCCTCCACCAGAGACATAAGTAGAAAGCAGTAGCAGAAGCAGGTAACATACGTACAGGAATTTGCAGTATTTATAGGACACATTCATAGCTGCAGACGTATAACTACAAGTGCAACGATTTGCCCAACTCATATTCGGTGCTGAGGCTCAATTTGGTCAAAGCAAGCCGCCACTCGGGCAACGCATAGGCCATCGCGTCTTCTTAAGCCAACACCGGAGAGTGGGATGGCCGAGCAATCATCACGCCGGAGTCCACCACGCGTGATGAAGGTTCAGCAAGTCAACGCCCGCAGGCCGGTCAAAAAGTTGCGAACGCACAAGAAGGCAATTATCGTTGTCTTTGTCGTTATACGTTTGCAGTAATAACCGTGTCCTATAAATACTGCAACTTCCTGTGCATATGTTACCTGTATCTGCTACCACTTCCTGCTTATGTTTCTGACGAAGAATCCGCGCTAGATGTCGAAATGTCAGACGAATAAAACAGTTGGCCCAGCGATCGAATCTTCTTCTTCTCACTCCGATTCTGTTTCCGTGAAAACCCGACCTATCCTGCGGAGACCATGCGTGTATTACACGTTTAAGCGGGCTGGTTAGCGTTGTCGGTCACTGAATCAACTCCCGCTTTCGGTTACCTGGACTGTCTTGCTACTGGACCCAGGTGAATGAGGGGATAGGAGATGAGACAGATACGGTTGAACTTAACTGCTTTTATGCTACGTCTTGTTCTATTGTATTCTCAAATAATTAAATATGTGTAACTTAACTAAATATATCAGAGTTTGTTCTTCTGTCATATAAAATGGGAATAAAATGTCAGTGATTATAAAGGGTTTGACCGATTGGAATAATTCATTAGACCAAACTGTGACAAACTCGGCTGCCTCAGTGGGATTCGAACTCACACCAACAAGAGAAAGGATTCAGTACACTGCTTGCTTAGTAAATCAGGCTTGGGCAGTCAGCTACCTGTATCAGAAATGGTGGAGTCCATACGTTGCGCGGGTAAATCGACGCAAGTGTGATGAAACTCACGGCTCCCGCTGGGGGCCTCGTAGGTCAGTTGGCCAAATCGTTGGTTGCACTATGGCTTTCCCCTTGCTGACGTGGGCTTAAATCCCACTGAGGCCGCCGAGATTTTCAAAATTGGGTCAAATGAAAAAAGTCAGTGCTCATATAAGTAATCGAGTTATCACTAAACTCGTCGAATGATTTAATTATGACTGGAAGGTGTATTAATAAGTAAATATATCTGTGACTTTTAATATTTCAAGTTCATCGCATCGAACAAATTTTCGTATTAACCTGGTATTTTATTTCACTTACAATTAGCTTATTTCATTAAAATTTACGATCTTTAGGTATGAGCAGACATAGACGTACGTATTCTTTCTCATTTGGATCTACAGCCATTAGGATTGCAGTGCACTCGGGGCATGAAATGATGCTCTGACGATAAATTCTGAGATACGACTTCAGTTTCGGGAGTTCTGTATGCGACGGCGGGACACTGTCAGCAAGTGTGAGTCGGGCATTCACACCAATCACATAGTCATTTACTTAACAGGCTCCCTGTTCAGGCGTCCTATTGATTTCTGGTTTTCACCCTGTACCAAATTGTACTAAATGACATTAAATTGAATCCTGTTGAGCGTACTTTTTCTGGTTAATATTGAGTGCTATTTTAATCATAAAAAAGCTAATTTATAAGGGCTGCACTTGGTTTAAATATTTAACCGAGGCCAAAAAAGGATAGGAATAAATGTGCCTCAAGGTCACTTTTAATTACCCACACTCTTGAAGCTTCCGACTCGGAGTCCGAACCGGGTACTAGACGAACCGGCCTCACGGTGTACGCGGATTCTGCCTCACGAGCCGCCTGGAGCTGTCTACAAGAACGGACAAACGTGTTTGGAGTTAAATATCAAATACAGTGTTGCGAGTGCTGCAAGCAAAGAGCCGTAATTTGCAAAATACTGGTGATCAGTCGCAAGCTAACATTTAGTAGGGTTGCAATACTGATTATCGTGCAGTCTAATCTCAATTCCTTTCAGTCACACCAGGATGCCGGCTCTTTAGTGGACTTCTTTCTAACTGCTTACAAGAAGTAGATTCTGTAACAATGGCAACTTAAATAATATGAATTTTTATCATGGATTTTGACTGCCTTTATAAATTCAAATATATTTTTTGTAGAAAAACGTGTACAAAAACATCGCTTCTTGTGTGCGGTTGGTATCGATTTACGCCTTCTTTACATTTTATACTTAAAAGGGGTATCTTTCGGTTTAAAAGTTGTCATAAGTACGAGCTTTTTTACGACTGTGAGGTGTGACATATTATCTAAACCGTAGGCAAAAACGATTTTTTTCCTTAAATATAATGTACACTGCATGCTCGGAAACCTTGAATTCAAGTGTAGCTTTCGGAATACATATGGAATATTTCGATTGACCCAATTACGAAAAAAGTCGCGGCCTCGGTGGGAGTCAAACCCACACAGTAGGGACGGCTTTTGCGCAGCCAACGCTCTATCACTGATCTATGTGACTCACCAAACACCATGAATTTAATCACAATTGGGTCGATTTTCTTGCCGAGTTTTACTGCACGTATGGAACCACCAATACGGAGGCAGTAGGTTTATTGCCAGGCAGGATTTCCTAAGTAATAATCTAGGATCCATCGGATGGACTACTAGGCTAACATATGGAATATTGAAAGAAAACACGTGAAGTAAGCAATAACCCCACGCAAACCGTGACGCAGTGACGCAGTAAAATGATATTGGGGCTCTACCAGCCAAAAATCGGATGCTGGAAACTGGTTGCCTATAGTATAAAACATGTGTAAGACATTCTGAGGACAAAAAACGGAAGCCTAGAGAACCTAGTGACTATTTTCTATCCCACGGCCGTAATCGGAAGACCTGATAGAGCAATCTAATTATTGGTTGGTTTGGATTAAGTGAGTCATTATGGTAATGGAGCTGTGCTGAATAAATTCTAATGCGTCAATTTTAGTTAGTCAGTTCAACTGTTGATTTTAGTGAGATCACTTGTGGGTCCCAAGGTAAAGTGGGTCAAGAATGGTGAATTGCGCGTGATTTTGTTGATGGTTGTAGAAGACTTCCGCTGTATCTACCGTAACATCAACGCTCTCACACACGCGGCTCCTGTGCCATGACCAAGTCAGGAAGATCAGCGGTGGGAGAGATCGGAAGTGGCTGGCACGTCCGAAACTGCCCTGAGTGTACTACCACTAAATGGAAATTCCACAGAAGCTAAATTTAGAAGAAGCACTTGCGGCCTGAATCCCAGTCCAACAATTTTTAATTGTTTCCGGGAGGACTGCGGTGGACTGGGCCACCTGGTGATATCCACACCGTTTGCCCAGCCATATGGATGAAGATGGTGGGGTGCAATGGCCAGCCTAGTTCAGCTGCGCCACTGCGATCTCCGCAGTTGGCTTATCTCTGAACGTTCACGGAAGGGACTTTGTCATTTTGTGTTAACTTCCTAGACCCGGAGTGGGGAGGGGAGGAGGGGTGATGAAGGCAGAAATGGGCATTTGAGCTCTGAAGTCGCCCATTTTTTAGCCTTTGAAGTTCGCCAGAAAGCCATTACGAAGGGTGGTGTGGGCAGGTAACGAATGCAGGTGGCAATAATTTCGGTGAATTGTTTCAGCAATTGAAGTTTATGGAAAGGGGGGGAGGGGCGGGGCGATAACAATCGACACATCGGCCGCATCGCTCCGACGTCAAATGCAGTCGGGGCGCATACCAGATAGGTAAATAGCCTTCGCGAATGATACAGGGTCTCTGTCAGCATAAACTCGAAAGCTGGAAACTGTTTGCCTTCAAAATGCCAAGTAATATTAGCTGGGTATAATACGAAAAAAGGCTAGGACACTTTGCGACCAAGAAACCGAAACATAGCGAAGCTGACCATTATTACTACTTCCATGCTCGCAGTCCTCATACTAATTAATTTTATTTAAGTGGATTAGGGTAATAACGGAGGTAAGCTGATTAAGGTGTATAAGACAGTTGGGCAGTTGATTTCCAAGAGAGCCACCGTTTGCCCCGCAGCAAGGTGTCGCGGGGACGGTGAATTGCACGTGACTTAGTTGATGGTAGACCTTCGATGCATCTTTCGCACTCTCTGTTCCCTCACTCACTGGAGGAGGGAGCGGGCACAGGTGGCTGGCGCTTCCGGAACCGCCCCCGTCACACCTGGATCGGATGGCACTAAGTAGGAGTGCCACAGAAGGTACATTACAAAGGGACCATGGCGA